GACCAGTGGCAGCTTGGTGCTGGTCACCGTGGCAACCAAAGAGGAAGGAGCCGCCCAGCTGACGGTCAACTGTGAGAAAATGGTGATCGGCACGATGCTGGTGAAAGACATCCTCCAGGCTCTAACGCAGTGACGCGAACCAGCTCTCCAGCTCTCCAGCTTTGAACTCCGCCTCTACCCGCACTTCAGCCATCCCTCACATATCATCTAAGACTTGTCAGTGTAGCATCTCCTGCGAGCCGTGTCAGTGAGGAAGCTTCCACAACATTTGTTTTGTTAGAAGAGCCCCAAACTTTTAGAAATGACTCCCAGAGACAGTGAATGCCACACCTGGACCTGACAATTAAAACTGAACCTGAATGTTTTTACTTGACTATCCAAAAATACTAATTTCCGAACGTTTTGGGGTTTTTGTTTTTTTTTCCTTGAGGAGCTAATTGGACTTACTGGACTCACATTTACTTAATCTAAACCTTTTTTTCTGTGGTATAAAGTTAATGTCAGAATTTGTTTCCTGGATAAACATTAATCGAGGCTGCAGGTTTATTCTTGACTTTGAGAAAAAAACTGTGGCTCTGAAACGTTCAGCCACAGCCTGTGATCTTCCTCAGTGGAGGCAGTTGCTCAGTTGTCATGGACAAAGACTGAATAAACTGCATTTTTCATCATTTGTGAAATCAAAATCAGCTACAGCGACGACTAAGTCATCCATGATATTCAAATCCAATTTGTGATGCTAGATTTTTCTGTGCTCTCACCTGGTATATAATAAAATCTGGAGTAGGACACATCTTTAAAAAAAAAATGCAGAAGAATCTTCAATCAGTAGTAGTAACTGGACTCATCCGCCTTCTGTTAATGCTGTAGTCAGGCTTTACAAAGATTAGGTGAGCAAAAAATAACAAAAACATGTGCAGTAACATGTTCACTAGGTTCAGGCTGGCGGCGATGAAAGGGGTATTAACACTGTGCAGTAAGAATAGGTGACTCTTGGCGATCAGGACACTTTATTTTCCCAATAAAGTGGTCCTACACCATAAACGTCGCTCACTCACGATCTCCCTTGATTTTTTTTTTTTTAAATCTCAGACTAGATTTAATCCATGTGTAGGAAACTGAAATAATCCCATTTACATTGTGACTGCTGGTTTTATTTTTGCTTTTATTCCAACTTTATGTATATCAGGTAATGACTAAACCATCTCTATGACAAATGAGCAACGTCATACGCTGGGGAAAGACTGGACCTTCACAGGAACTAAAGGAGGTCTTTCTATGGTGTTAACATGAAGATGAAACAACTTTCAGTTCAGTTCATTTTATTTATATAGCTACAATTCACAACAAAAGATAAAAATCTTACAACAATATAAAGTAAATCCCAACAATCAGATGCCCCCTGTGAGCAAGAAAAACTCCCTTTTCCTCTGGCCGAATCAGGCTCAAGGATGGGCAGCCATCTGCTGCAACTGGTTTGAGGGGCTATCAAACTGTTTTAAGATGGAGAGATACTCTGAGATAGACGAAGGGGGTAAAAGACTATCATTATATTCCCTCAAATCAGGTGGCACTGTCACAGTTATTTGAAATCCTTACAAGATACAAGAAGATAGCTGATCTAAGACAGCTACCATTCAACCTCAACTATGTGATTTTGGTATAATATTAATGAACAATTCCCCAGAGTTTTATCTCATAATTTGGTGATTTTTAGCATGTGGTTAGCTGTCAAAGTGCACATGTTCATCACAGTAAGTGGGGCATTGATAAAAGCTGAAATGTATACATGCTGTTTTATTGCAACATGCAATGCAGTACTACTGTAAGGTGTGGTGTGTGTCTGTGTGTGAGTGAGTATCAGCCTAACAATAAGAAGTAGCGCTTTTGATTAAAAACTGTAACACTTGACTTGACATCATCATAAAGCACATTAAAATCACAAAAATCATCATGCTTGATTATACAGAAATGTTTTTTTTGGTTGCTTTTCTCTGATTGCTGTGAATTAAACCCAGCGTTTAACCCCAACTCCAACAAAAATACTTAACGAATATCAGCAAATTATTTTCCTAATTATCATTTTGATGAATGATTTATCTGCTGGTGATATTCTTGTATAAGTGAATCGTGATCGGGACTGTAAAAAATAGGATTTTTGCCCACTAAATTCTCAACTGAGTCTGGTAGACAAGCGTTTACTGTAAGTCATTCTACATGGATTTAATGAGGTGGTAGTTGTGTCTTCAGTTTGTTTATGTGCATAAAGCAAGTAATATATTGACCATAGAGCTGTAGCATATTTTTCTAATTTTATTAACTTCCGAGAAGGCAAAACTAGCAGTTTTCATGTTTTGTGTCAAGCTAATGGGTTGCTATCTATAGCTATAAAGTTAGCTTTCCCAAATGAGACTTAACTGACTTTTGGCAATACAGCAAAGATAAATATTTATCAAAAATATCAAAGCATTCATTTAGATTTCTATTTTCAGAAAACTCAGCCTATATTTACTAGTAAATAACACAATGAAGCTTTGAAGTGAAAGGTTCGCAAAAGCTTATAACAAAACTCAACCCATTCAGCTTTCCATAAAGTTGATTTAGTAAAGAAACATTTAGATTATGTTTGAGTATGTGCTGAAGATAATGTGCGTGATTTTCAAGTTAAGTGTTGCTTTTCATCTCAGTGGTCAGGCTGGTTTCGTGGCTAATTACATTTGATGCCCCTTTTTTTCCTTTTAATATCCTCATCTGTGCTGCAGACGCATGTTTCTTAATTCTAGCAGTATCTGTGCACTTCCTTGTACTGTTGGAAACTGTAACTGTAATCTTCCAAAGCTACAGCAGTAGCGAAAGGACTTTATTTTGGCCTTTAACGTACTCCTCGCATTGTCTGTTATTTGCCCGTTCGCTCCAGCAGCCATGATGATGAAAGTAAAAAATAAGAGAGTCTACTTTCAAAAGTAAAAATACAGAAAAGAGTGAACTCTATTCTCCAAATCCTACCTAGGGCCATCTGTTACATCTGCTTTCAAAATATCCAAAGTACAGTTCCTCATACCCATGTGTGGTTGTGAAACGTGGTCCTGAGGTATTACAAGTATAGTTATTATACAAATAAAAGTACAGATATGGTGTTGCGTGTGTCTACTTTTTTATGGTCTTTAGTCAAATCGACCACAGACAGCTGCCTTAACTGAAGGAAGCAAGACTGGCAGTTTGAATAAGGAAGAGTAAAACAGAAGTTGTAAAAAGCCTGCTGTATTTGCTGAAATCGAACTCGTCCATCTGTTTGGCATCTTTGTAGTGACATTTAAAACCCTGGAGCACAATTTCTTATTTACTAAAGTTCAGCACGAAAGTTAAAAGTAACAAAAAGCTGGTAAACAAAGTGGTATTAAAGAGAAACAGCTGGAGGAACATTTTACAAATAATGAGGTTAGCTAGCAACACATTAGTAGCATGACTGCTTCTCTTTTCCTAAGACCTTAAAAACTTTCCTTCACACCTTTCCTTGACCTCATGAAGTTGTTCATCGACGTCATGGTAAAGAGACGCAGGAAGGATGTGGGAAGTCTTTCTTGTTTTTTATTTGATACAACAAAACAGCAAAAACACACACATGTGAGATGAAGAAAAAGCTGCATTTATTTAAAAACCTGATTAAGGCATTACAAAATAATTGTAAATCTGCTTTAAATTTTTACAAAATCCCTGATAGGATCATCAATGTAGTCTCTCAGGCAGATATTAAGGTAGTCTATAAATGATTTGGTCCTTTCCCATCACTGCACTCTGAAATCTTTGGTTTTCCACTCAAACTGAACTAAACTTGCCCAATCCAGTTTGTGCAGGAAAATATCAGACTGAACCTACTAAAATCTATTCTGTGCATAAGTACAGACTTTTTGGAAACCATTTGCTATGATACTTTGGCTGATTACACCACCTATGCAGGTCATGAACCTCCAAAAACATCATATAAGGCCATTTATTCAGACATATATTTGAAGGCAACTTATTAAAATGTGTTTTTTTTTCTAGCTGCATGGTTTTATTCTTAGATTGCACTAATACAGCTTAGCATGATTCACAGTTAAAAATGATTTTTAAAAAAACTAATAGCACTTATCTTACACTTGGCCTTGGTCTTGTTTTTTTACAATTCAAAAGAGACATGACAAAAAACTGCAGCTGCTCTAAGTCAGCCTTCTCGGATTGGCTGAACCTCACATCCAGAAGATTTGAATGCAGCCTGAGTGAGGGTTTGTGTGCTCAAAGCCAGAGCCGTGTCCCTAAGTAGATCCTATTAGGGACAAGGCATAAGACTAAATTTGAGCATCCTCCACTGTGACATAATATACATTCACTGGCCCCATTATTGAATACACTTGGTCAACTGCTATTAAGACAAATATCTAATCAGCCAATCACATGGCACCACCTGAGTGCATTTCGGCGTGTAGACACGGTCAAGACGACCTACTTAAGTTCAAAGTGAACATCTGGACAGACAGCAGTTTTAATTGATTTCCCTGTCGGATAAGAACAGGAGGCTGAGGCTATATCAAAATAGGTTCATCAAAATTAGAAAACATAAGTGTTGGTTGACCTGATGAGTCTCAATATCTGCAGCAAAATCTGGCTGGTAGGGTCAGAATTTCGTGTAAACGACATGAAAGCATGGATCCATCCTGCCTTGTATCAACAGTTTGGGAAGCTGGTGATGGTGTAAACATGTGAGGGATATTTTCTTGGCACACTTTGGGCCCCTTAGTACCAACTGAGCATCATTTATATGACAGAGCCTACCTGAGTATTGTTGCTGTCCACATTCAGCCCTTTATGAAAACAGTGTACTCACTATACAAAACTAGTTTCTTAAACATGACAGGAAAGCAAAAACACAAGACCTACAGTCGATCCATCACTCTTCAGTAAACCAGATAATAAGGCCCCATTTTCTCACTTTGAATACAGGGTTTTGTCATTTACATACAAACTTTTTACAGGTGTCAAAGGTTTTAATGACACACTGGCACTTCTTTCTCAGCTTTCCAACGCAGTAATTCTTGGAAGGCAGAGAGAGGCAACGTTGTTTAACAATTTGTTTTAGCAGTGGAATTTTTAAATTAGGAACCATAGAAAAAAGATGACAGAAGGCACAGGATTCAACCAGAAAATACACAGATTACAGAGCTTCAAGTCGTTCTACCCATCTGTGAGGATGTTTAGAGGAAGCTGAAGCCAATAAAACAATGCGAGTGTTCACGTGAGCTCTGTCTGCCTGGTTTGTGGAAGTAGAAGACCCACCAGTCCTCCAGTGAGCAGCAGGGCTGACACCAGCAGGATGGGGACAGCACAGTTTGCATCCACCAACCTTCCAAAGACCAAGTTACCCATGATCGCTGCCACTCGGCCCACGCCTGTGAAGAAACCAAGAGCAGAGGACCTGAGAGAAAAATGGAAAGAAAAGAGATTCAGTATATGTGCATGTGACCTCTCTGAGTTAGAATAAAACACCTCCATGGATGAGTGAATCAATTAAAAAAAATACAAAAAAAGAAATCTTAGTTTGATTTACATTTCTATACATGGCTGAATCTGAGTTTCGAGACTGGTTACCGTAGCTTTGTTGGGTAGAGCTCAGTTCCTATGACATCCAGCGCATTCCAGGTGATCACGGACACCCCGCTGAAGATGCAGGACAGGATCAGACTCTGAGCTTTGGTCTGAACCACATAGATGAAGAAGACACTCAGACTGGACAACAACAGGCTGCCGGCTGGAGAAAGTAACAAAGATGAAGAAATGTATGATTTTTTTGTTAAACACTGACTTAAAGGTGGGCGTTCTGTAGCAGCTCGGTTTTCTGATTTTCTACATTTGTTTGTAGTGTGAGAGCTTCTTTAATCGTGACTCGAAGCTTTTGAAGATGAAGATGGAGCGTTTGCTTAACTATGAATGGGTTGTTTTAAAGACAGTGATGAACTGTAAAAGGACAGATTTTATGCTGTCAAGTGTCAACTCACTGACAAATTCAGAGAATAAATTATTTACAAGAAACAAGCCGGAAAAATTAAGCTGAATGTCCACTGGAGGCGAGTCAATCCTCTCTGACTTCTATGTTACAACGTTACAGCAGAACAGACTGTTACGATAATAGAATTTCCTATAATGGACTATAATGAATAAACTGGACCTCTCAGTTGTTTCTGGAGTATCTTTAATCCATTCATCTAAAAATAAAATAAAAAAAATACATGTGTTGCTCTATTTTGCCTTAGATATATGATTGGCATTAAATTTGCAAAAACTTAAATAACATCTAGCAAGATGTCAATTATTTTAGCTGGGTAGCTCCATTCACTCCATGGACTGTTTCTTGAGCACCACTTGCTGTGGCCACAATTTCTGTGGGTTACTGTGAAGTGGAATGGCTCTCCTGGATTGGCTCTGCTATGATCTTTTTTTTTACACAACCTATGATTATATGCAAAATGTATGGGAGAGTGTTAAGGCATGAAAACATATTGATTTGTGAAAGAAAAAAAAACTCACAAAGCAGAGCCTTTCCTCCGGTGCTGTCCATCACAAGGATAGTGAAGATGTTACCCGGCAGGTTTGCCGCGGCTATGATGAAGCCATCCGTATATACTGTGAGGTAACAGACAAATACAGGAAGACGAGTGTGGACAGGAGAAAGACATGTGGCGAGATATGGATGGACCAGAAAAAACAAATAAAAAAACAACTCAATATAAACAACTCAAAATACTGCAAAATTTTTCCATATTAGATTAACTTGGGTCTTTTGAGCAAACATCCTTCGACAACTGTGCATTGGTAAAATAAAAAGCTACTGATACAGCAGGTACAGGACTAAAAGACAACACATTAATAGTTATTTTCTGAGATTTCCTGAGTGAGTCCAGTGTCAGCTGGTGCTTTAAGCTTGTTTGGAAGTCACATAAAAGCAGGTTAAAGAGTAAAGCAGAAGTGTCCTGCACTTGTTTTAAGTTTCAAATATTTGCTTTTCTCTTCCTTTCAAGTATTGTAAAAACTGACTCCTGTCAATGTTAAAGCTGATTTCTTGGCCTCCGTGAGCAGCGATGCCTGGATGAAAACACTAATATGAGCATGAATCCTCTGAAACACACCTGCTGTCTTGACCGTGTCACAGGTTGCATTGACCATTGCAGACGGGCGGGACACATTTGCGCAGGGCGAGCCGCCGTCTTCGGTTCTCTCAAACAGCTCAGGAAACCACATCCACAGCCCGTAGTAACTACACACACACACACACACACACACACACACAAAAACAAAAGATTTTAACTTTTGATTTAGAATAAAGGGTGAAGTGTGAAAGTTTTAAAATGTAAAAAAAGAAGAAATAAGAAAACCACAGTAGATGTGCAAATATGAGTTTACCATTTAATTGTTCCCTATCACTTGATGTGATGCCTATCAAATGGTTATCTCACATTAGTAGTATTATTTTTATAAGTCTGATACAATCCCCCAGAAGCTGAACAGCGTGAACAGAGCTGAAGCACAGCCTGAATGTATAGGTGCCCATTTCTTACCCAAAAGATATTGAGTAGAAAATGATGAGAAGAGGGATACTCCTGGATCTGAAAGGGCTCTGAAATATCTTTTTAATGGGAGCCAAAGCCTGCAAGTTAACAAGAAAATTATTCATAAGTAAACCAACAAAAAACAAAGGAAATGCCTAAACTACTCATGCACTGTCAGTGTTTTCACATTTACTCAATAGCTTAACAAACAAAAGCTCTTTTCCTTTTTGTTATATATACAGTTTGGTCCAAGTGGATACTATTAACCAAATAATCACAACTTGACTGAAGTCAAGTTTTCCACCTTAATTCAAGGGGTTCACAGAAGTGTTGTATTAACTGTTTAGGAATTAAGCCATTTCTATACAAAGTCCCCTGTTTTCAGATGCTTAAAGCAATTGAACAATTTACTGCTGTGCAGTTTTATTGCCAGCTAAGGCTTGTTCCCTCATTGTTCCGTGACTAATTGAGCAGATAAACCATCCGCTAACTGTTCAAGGTAACGCTCAATGTCAATTCCAAAGAGAGGTCTTTGAAAGTGAAGGCAGGGATCACTGGACTAAAAAAAAAAAAGACAAAACAAAATAAACCTATTGAAAAGATGGCACAAATTTACGAGTGGCCAAATGAACAATCTGGTGTATTGTTAATTCACTGAACAAAAAGCCGGGAAAAATCACAGAAAACAAATCAAGTGAAGGATGACACAACAGCTAACCAAGTCAAGAACACTCACAAGAAGTTAGGCATAATTTTCATATGTACAAAAAAGGATGCCGTCATTAACGTAAACACAGAGGGTGTACAACAAGGTGCAAAGCAAAGGTTACGCTCAAGAACTCAAGACCATAAATGGGATATTCTTCAGTGGCCAGGTCAGCCACCTGATGTTAGCCAAAAACTGCATAATTTACAGTTACTGAAGACAAAAGTGAAGGAACAAATACCAACAAACAAGCAGCAACAGCAATCACTGACTATAAAGTATTTTCATTAAAATATTAGAAACACCCCCCATGTTACTTTCATCCCACTGAAATTCCCAGATGTATATAAAAATGTGTTTTTAAATCCTAAAGTTAATGGAATATTTTTGTTAAACCCTTGAATTAAAAATGCTTCACTTAAATCACATCTTGGTGTACAGAGGCCAAATGATTAAAAAATGCACTGTGTTCATAAAACATTTTGGGTATCTGAAATGATTTGTTGAAAAAGTATTAGCAAAGTTGGGTGATATATAACAATACTATGGCAGGGAAAGGGCTAAGAAGGTCAAATCCAGTTCTGAGTATTCCTAACAAACCAGTTCAAATTAATTTACAACTATTTTTGGTAATTTTTCAAATCAAAACACAAAACAATCGTCACACGGGAGGATTGTTTTGTGTTTTGCTACTTTTCTCTCCTTTTTAAAATCTTTCAGGATTGAGTATCTTATACTCATGTTTTACCATTTTCAGCCATTCTTTTTTAAAATAAACAAAACCCTGAATCTTGAAACCAGTACTACCAGACATTCTAAAAATCTGTTAAACTATTAATAATAACAAATTACATCACCTTTTTCAAAATATTTGCAAGACGTTCTTTACTTGAACCCAAGCTTCTGCTCTTGTCTTTGTCACCTTTTTGGGTAGAACTTGAACGCAAACCAAATTCCTACAAAAGGGTTCAGAGGACAGTTGTTACACTTACAGTACTTTTATACAGTTGCATGAAGGAAGGAAATGTTGACTGATGACTGATGTTTCGTAAAGGCAAGCAGTGCTTGCCCAGTGAAATCTAAAAATACACATTAAAGTACATTATAGTACTTGCTATTGTCATCTAATTCTTAACATTTTTTAAACATAACTATAGAAGCGCTAACATTTCACAATTTGTCAGCCAGGAAGGAGTTCAGACAGGTGAAAATGTCTGTGCAGATTGCAGCAATATGTACAAGGATGTCAGCATATACAAAAGGATAGTCATGCAGCACAAAATCATGTTCTAATCTGGTCCAAGTTTTCTTGTTGTTGTGTTGAACACTGGAGAAATGTTTGTTCTCTTTATTTGGAGGTGGAAAGGGGCTGGCCATTGTTTCTGCTCACCTTCCTGTAAAAGTCACTGCTTGCTACTGATTCAACAAAACTGTAGAATACCACATGTGGAATATAAACACACAATAGCTTTCACTTCTCTTTGATTCCACCTTATCTTTGTCAGTTGCATCACTTTGGCTTTGCTTTTTGTTGACTTAAGTTGGTTTTATTTTTGTTTAAAAAAATTATTAGATATATAGATAGTAATATACTTATTTTATACCGGAAGACCCTTTTCTTTTCCTTTCATGTTCAGCTTAAACATCAATCTGAAAACATGGATTGCTTCTTTCTCACGGTTAGCCTGGAAAAGACAGAACACAAAAAATCATCCTAAAGACAACTCAGAAGTAAAAGCATCCAAGCAACACAAACATTATTTTGGTCTTTCAATACCTCCATGAGGAACTTGGGGCTTTCAGGCATGAACAGCTTGAAAATGAGTGCCGACGTGATGCTGGGAACGGAGCACAGCACCACAAACACCCGCCAGCTCTTGAAGTCCAGTGTTCCCAGAGACAAATATACCCAGGTTCTGGGGATCACCAGCCAGGCCAGACCTGCAGACAAAGGCAAACACAGATGGTCAATATTTCATAAAAAAAACCCTACAGTTTCTTTTAAGAGAAGTTGAGTTTAACATCTTGTGCAAGGGGCATAACCACAATTATATTAATTTTTTATATGGAGAATACTCCTTGCTCCCACCTGCAGCCAGGATGTTTCCTGCCATCCAAAAGGTGGCAAGACAACTGATCATCGCACCTCTCCTCAGCCGGGGCATAAACTCTGAGAAGTAGGAGAAAATGACAGGAATTGACCCGCCGACCCTGCAGAGGAGAACAGCATGGTGTTTATTCTTTAGCTGTTTTAGTTGTTTAACAAAGAAAATTTAGATGGTTTCTAAATACAGCGTGGAGGGATGCTGCATGTCTTGTGCTATATTTGGGTATTTCAAAAATGATGACACTGAATAAAATCAAACCAGTGAATTACTAATCTGACTGACCTTTGTGCCCCATTAGGGGCATTTTTGTCCTCTAATGACACCAGAAGTAC